ATCTTGTTTAAAATGCACTTCATCAAACAACAGGATGGCTCAAGATACAACATGCCAGAAGCTTAGGTAGAAAAAGGAACATATTAACAAAGGAGAAATGTAGTTGTTTCATATATGTGCAGAGTAGCAAGCAGCAAGGTTTTTTGGGAACTTTTTAGAAATTCATTAGTAAGAGTTATCAGGGGCATATATTTCTGAAACACAACGTGTTCATTATCTTGATCTTATTCTGCAAGGGGCAGTCATAGGGGACAGTTAACTGTCTTATAGAGTGGGTTCCAGTTTACATGGAGCAAGAAGGAAACTGAATAGATCTGATCAAGCGTTCCAAAAAGAAAGGAAGTTAGAGTTATCACAAGTCAAGTAGGGATGCTCACGTAAGAGAAAAGCCCAGTTTGGTACACAGAAGCAAAATCAGAATGGGTAGGAGAGTTTTCTTTGCACATACAATCACTTCACCAATATATTCAGTCTTTAAAATGTTCAGGTCCCAACCATTTTACGGTTTAAAGTAGGAGTAGACAAATTTAGAGGGTATGGAGCTATGGTGGCATCCCTAAACTCACTATGGGTCCTATCCTACCTCAGTGTCACTGAAATTATTGGTGTAGAGCTCTTCTAGCAATGGCTCTTTAAAACATAGCTTGCAACCATAACTTTTCAGGTATGAGTTAAGCTTCCAATGAGCATCCAACATAGAATATGCCCTACATGCCACTTACTAAAAAGTACTGAAGAGCATACAGGATATAGCTTTTCAGAAAATGAGATTCACATTTCTTTACTCTTTGAATTGACTTTGTTAAATGATGACATCACAAGATCATAAACATTTCTCCTTTCAGCTTTGCATATGGTATTCCAATAACCACATACAAGATTTTGGCAGTTGTAAACAGAGAGAAAAAGACTACAGCCAAAGCCTGTAAGAAATACAGTATTAATTAGTAGTTAGTTTAACTTTTTTTGGTGCAGTGTTTCCTCACCATACAAAACAAAAAAATTCCTCACCAGAACGTCTACAAGAGGTTCCTTATAGACTTTTCAGTTCGATGTAGAATACATGCTAGTTCCGTGGGTTTAGAGATGAATTTGAATATTGTATATTCCATTATTTCTTTTCCCATTCTCAGTTCTATTTGTTATGTGAAGCAAACAAGGTGAGGGGAACTTTGTTTATTAAATCTGAGGATCAAAGTAAATGTGTAAGGTGGCACATTTCTTTATTCACGAGACTGCCCCATTCTCATTTTTATACACAAAGTAATATGTGGCTGAGGGGAGCTGAACTCTCTTCCCAGACTTGCTTTACAACCCTTTTCTCTGTGCTTATGTTTGATAATGGAAGTGAGCCAGGAAATGATGGAGCATGAAAGGATATAAATAGGGTAGAGTTCAGCCCCTTATTTTCAGTTAAGATATCACCCTGGCTTTACACTTGAGTTATGCAGACACATGTATAAACAAAAATACCTAACTCTGTTGGTTTAGTTTGATCCAAAATACCCAAACCCCTCAAATTGGAAAAATATGCACATTAAGATGAAGGCATGTAGGTATCTCTTGAAATTTAAGATGCAAGATGTTTATGAACAATATTTTCTAAAATGATGTATTGAAAGTATGTGATGTGTTGATGTGAATGAACATGGGGATCAGTATTTGAATCCATTCAGGAGTCTCAGCCTGAGCAAAAGGCAATGGAAACCCCCACCCCAAACAAATCATGTCCATAAAATCCCATGATAGGTTCACCGTAGGTTAGAAATGACTTGAAGGCACAGAATAACACTTGATCAATTTCCTTCCAACCTGTTGGGGTTCCCAAAGTGATATATAATAACACTGATTAAAAATCAGGTTTATTCAGTTTTTAAAAGACACCTAGAACACAATTTTTAGAAACCAAAGGCCAGGCAGATTAGTACCATTTTGGCTATCTGCTAAAGGATCAACAGGAATGGAGCCAGCCCATTGTTCCTTGGGAGGAATTGCTATTGTCAAAGGTGCTGCTACAGAAAAACCTTGATTCATATATAATATAAATACTTGCCACTGTATCCTTTCAGGTTGGTTGGATAGGTAACTGTGCTTCCATTAAAGATGCATCAAAGTTACAAGCAGGTTCTCTGAGATAAGGTTTGGATATTTCAGCTGAACCTTGATACGTTTCTGCTATCTGAATTTCCACTGATTTGTTTTCTCACACCTCAGGACAATGGGTGGTTGTTCGAATTGCCATTTTTGGTTAGCAGCTGGAAAATGCGGCAAGATATGGCCCATTGGCGGCAACGAGGGAGCTTCCTGGGCTCCCCTTCCCATTGTTTTTAGAGCTATCGGGATGAAAATGGCCACACAGGACACATCAACCACTGTTGGCCCACCAAGTTTCAAAATGTTTGTGCCATCCCCAGATTTTTAGGAATTTCTTTTCTTTCTAGAAAAAAAAACTCCTTTAAAAAAATCCTAAAAAAGGATCCCCTGCTGGTCCTGTCCTATAACTTCTCTGAAAGCAGTAGCAGGTCACCATTACTTCCTGCCAAATGTCAAAGATGCACTTCCACATCACACACCCCATTACTACACTTTCTTTACTAATAGAAACATTCCAGCAGGCCTGTAGTGAGGGGGGGGGGGGTTAGGGGTTCAACCCCCCCCCCAAATTTTTCAGGTTAAAAAAAATAAACCTGGTTTACTCATGAATTTTAACTGGTTAACCAAATCCCCATGCTAAGCCTATGAGATGCAAAAAATTAGGAGCCCCTCTAGAACTGCAAGCACTATCTCAAGCAAATATTGACAATTTATTCACACTGTCATTACTTGCAGCAATAGCTGATGTAGTGAAGCAACCAAGTTGGGGGGGGGGGGTGTTGAATGCTCTCATTAAGGAGGCCAGACTTGGTAGAGGTGGTTGACAGGGGCGGAGCTGCAGGCTACTGAAGGCTGCTCTGCCCCCTGCTGTGCTCTTTGCTTCAACGTGAGCTAGGAGGCAGTTTTCAACTCGCAAAATTTTCAACCCCCCCAAAATATTTTTCAAAACTCAACCCCCCCCCCCAAATTTCAACCCTCCCCAATTTTTTTTTCTGGCTACGGCCCTGCATTCCAGCAACTTAAAGCCTTTGCATTTCTTGTTTTCACAACATACTGATAGAGGTTCGCAGACCACCATCCACAAACAAGCAAGCAGGCTGTCCCCTTATCAGAAAAACACTTCTGTATGATCCACTGGAAAAAAATTCAGAATGTATTGTGGGAAATCTAGCCATGTTCAGAAAAAACATAATGTTTTTGAAGCGTATTATATTATTTTAAGTCTTAAGTCTTAGAGATTCAGAGCAGACCATCAGCTTCACTGATTCGCCTTGCAGCCCCCCCCCCCCAAAAAGGGTAATGGAGGGATACAGAGACAAGGGGAGAAGGATGTCTTCAAGTCAGGCAGACAGGTGGCTGGCAACTTTTTATTAAATGAAAGTCAGAGAGATTGCAAAGGGTAGGATTGGTAAGTAGAACTTTGGATGGCAGCGTTTTGCTCATACAATTCTTATGAATAGTACAAATAATAATAATATGGAGAAGAGCAAACCACTGAACACCTGCTGCAATGCACCCTGAGTCCTGCCACATGCACAATGGAGGACCTTCTTGCAGCAACACCAGAAGCACTCCAAGTGGCCAGATACTGGTCAAAGGACATTTAATCAACTACCAAACTGGCAAATTTTGTGTTTTGTCTGTTTGTTTGTTTTGTTCTGTTAGAAATGTAATACAATTGACTGGTTGCCCTGACACGACAAATAAATAAATAATAATATCAATAAACTTTTATGTCCTGTTGGAGGTTGGAATTAGAGAGAGATAATAAGTTCTGTTGGCTTGACAAAACTTCCACAAAAGCTGAATAATTTTATTATTATTAGGTGGCAACAGCCAAGTTATTATTAAATGAAATTAAGAATACAGAGAGCACAAAGAGAAATATTAAAAAAATATCGAGAACTTGTGATGAGATTGCAAAGGCAAGAAATTAGTATTAGTGATAAGCTTAGGTAGGTAGGTAGGTAGTTTTCTGAGAATGAGGCTTTGCTGTTTGCTGGAATTCTTATAATTATTAATAACAATAATCTTTTAAAAGTACTTTCTGAAAGAGAGGAGGAAGAAGGGAGAAGAGAAGAAGATAAAGGCCACATTAGTAAAAGCTAAAGCAGTGGTTCCCAACCTTTTTTTTTTTACCAGGGACCACTTGACTGGGGATCACTTTGACGAGGGACCACTTTGACCAGGGGCCACTCTTCAACATTAGTACCAAAAGGGGCAGGGCTGGCTAGTTCTGCAGAAAGGAGCAGAAATAAAATAAAATAAAATAAAATAAATAAAGAGGAAGGAGGTTCACAGACTGGATTTTCACTCTCGCAGCCCACGGCTGGGCTACGGCCCACAGATTGATAACCACTGCTCTAGAGTCAGGAAGTCACTGAGAAATGGAGGTGCTCATCGCATTAAATAGACATAGCTTTTGTAAGACACGTCACAACTTTCTTCTATTCTGATTGGCCCAACAGACAGGGCTCACAGGGAAACCCCATGGGAGTATGCAGCAGCCTCTCCATGCACTGTGTGATGCTGAGTCGAACAGAAGGTAGCCATGACTGGCAGCCATGTGGTATGACTCAGTAAAAAAAACCCTAAAAAACATGGCGGCAGAACCCTTGCCATTACAGGCATCCAAACAAGCTGAACAACCCGAAGAAGCCAAAAGCAAACAACCAAAATGATTCTGTGCATAGGCCTACTATTCACATATCCTAGCTACAAGTTGTTTAGGGCTTTATAGGTCAGCAACAAACTGGGAACTGGTGTTGTTTATTACAGGCTCGTTATAATAGTGTTGAAAGAAAAAGATCGGACTGCCGCTTGAACTAGCCTTAAAGTCAAGTTGAACTTGTGATTTCTAATTCTCATTTTCCAGTTTCGAACTTTATAGGACCAGTTTAACTTACTTTTGTAGATGTTCAAATAGTATTTTCATGGTGTCATAGTTTGGTCTTGGGAGCTTCTGTACAAGGTCCTTTATACATTTCACTTTGTTGTTATTGTCTTGGATTTCTGCAAAAAGAAGCAAAGGTTAGGATCCTACAACAGCATCTAACTATTTTTTTCAAACTAGGGTTGAATAAAATAGTAATGTTGAACCGAGATTATAGTAAAAAGATGTATATGAATGCACCTAAATTATTTTCTGCTGGGTGGGAAACTGGGTTTCAAATCCCACTCAAGGCCCATCTATATTGATGGCATACACCAGAGGAGTCCTCCAAATCAGTGATGGGGAGTCTGCACAGCCAGCTGTCAAGTGGGAGGTATCTACACTGCACAGCTGATAGCAGGCTTGGCAGCAGGAAGATGTCTGCATGGCCCAGAACCCAGTTCAGCATCACTGGGTAACCACCGTTACTGTGACTGTCATGCCTCTAGCTCAGCAGTTATCCTCAGGCATGGAATTGCTGGTGGTTGTTGCTCAACACAGGTAATTTTATTTATTTATTTATTTATTGCATTTCTATACTGCTTTTCTCACCCCGGGGGGGGGGGGGTACTCAAAGCGGTGTACAACATAATAAATGGTAAAAAGTCAATGCCAAACATACATATAAAAGCAATACATAACATATCTAAATCAATAACATATAATTATGAATTAAAACCATTAAAACTATACAAAAACATCAAACATGGACATAAAAATATTAGACATTGCACCAGTCTCATTGTAATTTAGCCGCTTCGGTAGTCCTTTCACTTGCCAGACACCTGCTTGCATAGCCAGGTTTTGAGCTGTTTTCTGAACCCAAGGAGGGATTGGGCCGATCTAATCTTGCTGGAGAAGGAGTTCTACTGCCAAGGGGTCACCACCAAGAAGGCCCTGTCTCTCATCCTCAATAGTTGGAATGACACTGGATGGAGTGTTAGAACAATGTGAGTGATGGGAGGGTAGAAAGGAGGGACTGAGCCCTTCTTCCCTCCCCCTCCCATCTCCAATCACTCTAGCACTCTAATTGTCACTAGTAAACTTTTTTTCATGTCAGGAGCAACTTGAGAAACTGTGTCGCTTCTGGTGTGTGAGAATTGGTCCTCTGCAAGACGTTGCCTAGAGGACACCAAGATGTTTCATGTTTTACCATCCTTGTGGGAGGTTTCTGTCATGTCCCTGTATGGGGAGCTGGAGCTGACAGAAAGAGCTCAACCCGCTCTCCCTGGATTTGAACCCCTGACTTGTTGGTCAGCAGTCCTGCCAGCACAAGGGTTTAACCCATTGTGCCACCAGGGGCTACTAAACTGAGGAGATGACAGTCATGGAAAGAGCTAACTTCTGTTCCAAGGCTTCAGAAATACAAGGAAAGCCATGGCCAATTCTGAATCAGAACCAGCCCAATGGTTTACATATGGCTAAAGTGGGGTGGTTTACATATGGTTTACATATGGCTAAACTTCCCGAGCTTTGAGGAAGTTTTGGGGTATGCCCAACAAGGCTATATTAAGTGGCCTTAGTGTGCATTGTGGTGAATTAGCCTCATGCATCATGTGGATACCACAAGATTCATTCACCCCCACCCTGCTTCATTTGGTCCATGTAGATGGCCCTCAGTCATAGAAACTTTGGGCAAGTACTATCTCCAGCTAAGAGGAAGACAATGCCTCCTTTGAACAAACTCACCAAGGACACCATATAATACAAGACAACATAACAAACACACATGCACATTAATACATTAAGTAGAAAACCCTGTGGTCAATAAAGATTTCTGAGACGTCTTTTGATTTTCTGTAAAAGCAGAAAATATGTTTTGAAAGACTGATAGGAAATTCCCAGTTTGTATTCATGTTTTTTCCAATTTTATACTGGGTTAAAATAAACTGAGAGATACTATAGATAGATAGTGTGATCATGCTGTGAGTTGATAAAAAATATTCTGGAACGAATGAGGTATGTATGGAAAATAAAATCAGAAAGAACAGAAATAAATCTGGTACTTCCTGGTCTTTTTAATCAGTCTGAATGCACCCTCCATTTTTTCCTACTTAGTTTTTTGGATATTAAAATGTCGATTTTTATCCATCTTGTATAACTAAGCAAAGTTTGTCTTGCTGTCTCTATTTGGTAGTTTCAAGCTAGGATTCATATCCAAGAGATGGTTCTGCTGGCAAATGTGTCACAAGTGTAGATTTAAGAGTGGGAGATCTCCCACCCTTGTAAGCTCTTGGAGATGATTAGTACCATTTCTGGAGGACCAAGAAACCATCTAGAGCAGGATTTTGGGCACTACAGAGGGTTGCATGTAGTAGGGGAAGAGAATTCATTCACACTGATGGTTGAAAGTTTGAACGGCACTAAGGGCCTCATCACAAAGGCATCACTGTGAAAGGATAGGAGTCTGTCACTCTGAGCAGAGCTCCCTCTTGGTGATGCTTTCCCCATCATATGGGGGAAGTGTTGCCCTCTGGTAGAGGACTCGTGCTGGCTTCATTGGAACTATTAGAGGCAGCACAACACAAGAAGCCCCCCGTGTTTTGAGGAAAGCCCCCAGCAATGTTTTCACCCCGGTTGGGGGAAGACCTCCACCAGAATTCACATGACGTCACGTGATGGCTGGCATGAGTCTCCATACAGAAGATGGGATGAAAGTGTCATAGGATGCTAAATTACCCTGATCTGATGAGGTCGTTACATTGAAGTCCAAAAAGCGGGCAAGAATGGGGGGATTCACCAAGCAGTGTGCCAAATGTGGTAGGCAGCAGGGGAAATCATTGCTCCATACCCAGTATTGCCAGATTGGCCGTTTTCCTCATCACACAGGGAAAAGAGTCAATGCATGGCTTCCCCTGTGCTTCCCCTGTTCTAATCAATGAGAATATGGGAAGTCTCTCATGTTTTTGAGGGATCTGTCTTAGGATGCTTCCAGGATGGAGCCAGAATGGAGCCCTGTTGGAAGTAGCCCTACGCCATGTGATGGACTCTGTCAGGCTTTGCCCTGGCTCCATCCTGAAAGCATCCTAGGATGGAGACAAAGGTTCTGTGTGTCTCTGTGTATGTTTTGGCTGAAAATGCATTTTGGGTAGGTACTATGAGAAGGAAGGAGCTGCCTGGTTTTGTTTTGTTTTGTTTTTTGCCATTTCTCCCCTTTCTAGTATCAGACATACTCTCCATTTCACATACTAGATCGATGGCCTCTGTTAAAAGGTCTTTCCTGTTAAAACTAATCTATGTGTTGTTTTGTTTGTTCCGTATGTTTTTAAGCCTAAAAAAGAAATACACAGTATTTCTGGAGTAGGTATGTACACTTGAGTGAATACGGGATATATGCCTTATTCACTCAGAACTGAGCCTTCCTCTTCCCAGGCAGAAAATCCCTGAAAACAAACATTAATTTTGTCATTTTTGATTAAAGGCTGCCATTTGACTATGCCATTTACTACTTGAGCATACATGGATTTTGGTATCCATGGGGTTCCTGGAACCAAAACCAAGCAGATATTGAGTTCCCGCCATACACAATTTATATTTATTATTTGTTTGTTTGTTTTTAAAAACAAAACAGCAGAAGCTTTACAGTAGCGAATCTGAGCAGAACAAGTTCAGATTAGAGATGGTAAATGTCGTGGTTGAATACTACTTTGCACATAGAAAGCTAACAAGGTGGGGAGTAAGCTGGACTATACCTCTTGTTTCTGACTTGCAAATTTGGGCTTGCTTGGTTTTTAAAAAAATGAAGATGTGATTCTGTGTTCTCATATGTTAGAACATGAGCCTGAAGAGTTGTAGCTCATACAAGGATTTCTACTTCATTAGGAATTAGGCCAGATGAGTCTCCAATTCTAGACCTTGCTACTGAAGGATTGAGGTCACTTTCTCTGTGTTACCTTTCTTTGGTAAGTACAGAACTTTTCATCGAGGTAAATCTTTGGTAATGTCATTTCTTCTTTTTGTATTCCTCTTAGTATTTATTTCTTTAGCTCCATCAATGTACATGGTGTCCAAAAACAGAACAATAAAAAGAGCTTTCCCTGCTGCACATTGATTTATTTATGCTGACTCCAAATCAGGCTAACTGACTGGATGCTGGCCATCTAGTCTTTTATTGTGTGTTTAAAATTCATTTCGAAAGGTTTGTTTTTCTGTAATGGTTATAATAAAGTTGTTGTTTTTAAAATTTACATTACATGGTTGTTAGCTACCTTAAGCCGCTTTTTTGTAGAAAAAAAGGCATGAATTAAATAAAGAAAGTGATAGATTGTACTAATTATATTTGGGGCATATCTCACATATTTTACTGTATTCCTCCCATGCTCATATGCTTTATTTTCATGCTGTCTAGCGATCATTTCTTAAAGTCATGTTGACATCCTTAGTCTACATCCTGTCCCTTGCCTGATATCCTTTCAATCATTTCATAACTGCTTTTTTGTAGAAAACAATTAGTTAGTAATGAAAGAATATGAGACTGAGACCTACAATCGCCTTTGTGATGTGAAACTTCTTTTGATGATGCGATAATAGTGTTGCTGCTGACTGACTCTGGATAAGCATACTTTTTAAAAATGCGATTAATGGTTTCAAGCCTTAAAATATGGTTTCTGACGAAGATATTTGCATGAGATGTCGAAGCATGTATAGCTGTGCTTTCATTTTGCAAAAGATAAGATAAAATAAATGTTCAAGGCTTTGACACAGGGAAACCGCTTTACATGCTGCAGGTTGTAGATAACCTGACTGTTGTTACTGGCCTGATCCAGTGCAGTTCAAAAGTTAGAAATTATTCTCATTGTTTAATTGTCCTACCTACCTCTCAAGCATTTTGGAGCCTCTATTAAAGAGAAGATACATTAGTTGTGGAAGAAACAGTTTATCCCTAACCTGGGAATTTGGCCTGCATCAATAGGAGCGTAGTGTCTAGATCTAGGGAAGTAATGCTACCCCTCTATTCTGCTTTGGTTAGACCACACCTGGAATATTGTGTCCAATTCTGGGCACCACAATTCAAGAGAGATATTGACAAGCTGGAATGTGTCCAGAGGAGGGCTACTAAAATGATCAAGGGTCTGGAGAA